AAATACAAAATTTTACACAAATCACCAATTGCAGTACTTTTAAAATAAACTGGTTTATTAAAGCAAGGTGTAGCTATAAATGACACTACAAATGTACAGATCATGTTATCCACGTTATTTTTACCTACTATCAACTTTTAAAATTTTATTTATATAAAAATCAATTAACCCTGCTCACAAGACTACGAGTGGCTGCTATTACTAAAGGAATAGTAATGTAGTAATTATTTTATCAAACTAACAAAATAAAGTAATTATGGTTTAAAGCTTACATAATGAAAGTATCATTCAAATGTCAATTAATTGATCAACATGATTTTCCAGTTTCTGGATTGCCAGAGACCAGGCATAACACTTAGATGTGCATTGGAATTCTGTGGAAATTCTGGCACAGGGACCTACATGTAAATTGCCTAGGAAGTTACAATTTCCGATAGGCAATCCCCCCCCATTCTTATGAGATATAGCAAGAACTACAAAAGAGTCCTGACCCGAAACGTCAACTTTCCTGCTCCTCTAATACTGCCCGGCCTGCTGTGTTCCTCAAGCTCCACACTGTGTTATCCCCCATTCTTATGATCTTCTGAAAATGTTTTTGACTTTGAACTAGAGAACATCAGAAAATTCCATGATGCTTACCCAGATTGTTACTCAGCAACTGTTAAATAGATTAAAATCTAGTTTAATAGCTGAGTAGCTTTACAGCTGAACCCATCCACCACCTACATACCCACTCTCTTGACTATATCCCGACCTGACCAAATTCCTGACACAAACACCATCCTCAACCCCACCACCCTACCCACCTGCTGCCTGACCTACCCTAACTAACTTAGCTGACACATCCTATCCATTCACTAACATTCATCTATTCAATATAGCATATGGCAGTTTGTGGGCATTTCCCTTCTTCCTCCAACTCTATTTCACTTCAATGGAGCTTTCCGAGGGATGCTTGACACCACACTCACGGAAAATCATGAGCTTGGAAGGTCTCTGAGGAAATGCGGAGTTGTGTCAATTCAAGGAAGATTGAGGAGAGCTGCAACCCAATGATGATTGCCATGTTTTGGAATGTCTGGGGTCAGAGTATGACAGATGGTCCTTTGTTGAAAAATAAGTCATATAATAACCTATGTTTAAAGCTATCAGATCTTTGTAATTTACATAGATATAAAAACATTTTTTTCTTTACAACAATTCTGGAATAACCACACAATTATACAAATAAGGTGCTTTACTTGTAATAATGAAATAGTCGTAGACAAACAAAGAAGAGTTTCACAGATGAAAACAGAGCCTCAAACATGTTATGACAGTGGTAAAAGTGGACCATCAATTTGTAATTTCCGTCTTCTGATCTTAATACCTGGGTTTTTCAGATTAAAATGGCTTCAAAAGGAAAAACACCAAAGTAATAAAAGATGGCCACACTGATCACCTGACTAAACTTCATGAAACCATTAATAATCAAGATCCAGTCTGTTCTGAAATTGACATGTTATCAAAATAACTGAAACCAGTCAGTCAGATTTCCCTTTCTTGTTTGATTCACACTTTTCTGGAAGTTTCGCATATCAAGATGAAAAACTCAGCACAAATTTCTCAGCTTGAAAAACAATTACGTTAGGCACGAAAAAACAAATTAACTTTCTTTAAGACATCTGCTTTTGGGCAGATCAGAGAAAGGACAAATGGATTTGTAACAGCTGATCTGGAAGATTCCGTATCTTTTTTCTCTCCGTTTCTCAATTAAAACAATATTTGGTAGCAAAGCAAATTGGAGAAACATCTCTTCACTAAGAACTCAAAGATATCTGCAAATTTTGCGATTGTGGAGGATACAAATGATCAATTAAACAACCATAGTCTCAGGTTAAACCTAACCCTTAAGGAATCGAAGGATGTTTAAACTGCATATTGGATCTTCCTTTTGTGCTATACACTCATCCCATTTTTAAACAACTTTATACCTGTGTTCATGCTGAAGAAGGGTCTTGACCCGAAACGTCAACGTTCCTGCTTCTCTGATGCTGCCTGACCTGCTGTGATCCCCCAGCTCCACACTGTGTTGTTTCTGACTCCAGTATCTTCAGTTCTTGCTATCTGAGTGAGGTATAACCCCAGTACGAAGCCTCTTCCAAGGATGCCCACCTTGAAGAAGTTGTCCTCCTCCCTTTGGAAAGGCCTCAGTGGATCTCTCTTCTGCTGCAATCCACTAGTGATATCTGCCGCCCTGAAACATTTCAACCACATACTGAACAAATCTGTTACTACAGCTGCATCTCCTTTCTCAGTACCTGCCTACGCAGCCGGATCATCCCCAATGGACTCCAAACAACATTCAGGCCATCTCAATTTAGCCCAAACTGCGACAACCACTACCCGCAGAGCATCCAGAGCCTCCAAAAACACAGTTTTATCTGCAGATCCTCAAGAACACGCTCTCAGCAATGCACTGGCATCTTCTGGCACTACAATCAACCTTACCCCAGCTCAGAACCTCCCTCTCCCAGACCTGCAAAGGACCTCTTCTGTTTTTCATTCTGCGCAGGATCCAGACCCTCAACCAATGTTTTTTCTCCACCCTACCTGACAGCAAAAACCGTAATTATGCTGAACTTGCTTGTGCTTACCACCAAACACAGGTCTCTTCTACCACTTCAGAACCCAACCCTATCCAGGACCTCAATGTGCCCAGTGCCACTGACCATGCAGTTACCTCGGCTTCTCCCATTGACATCACCAACCTCGTCACTTCCGCTGCTGCCAACCATACTGCCACTGCTGATGACATCACTTCTGCCCGAGACAGTCTTCACCCCTATTCCCAGCTCCAACTCTACACCCAATCCTAGCCCAAGCCCTGCCGGGTCTTCATCTTCCCCCCAGACTTCCCCCTCACTGAGGACGAACAGTCTGTGCTCAGCAAAGGAGTCAGCTTCATTCCCCTGCACCCACACATCCAGATGTTGAACTCTTTTTCCGCCTCCGGGCCTATTTCTTTAACAGGGAGTTTACCCCACTATCGAAAGACTCCCTTCTCCCACCTCCAACAAACCTCATCCTCTTGGACAGCACCCCATGGCCTCCTACCGTCCCTTGACCTCTTCATTTCCAATTGCCATCACAACATCAACTGCCTCAATCTCTCCACCCATCTCACTCACTCCAGCCTCTCCCCCACGGAACATGCAGCCCTCCATTCCCTCCCCAACCTCAACTTCAAACCTGCAGATAAGGTGGGGGAGGGGGTGCAGTAGTGGTATGGCACACTGACCTTTACATCACAGAGGTCAGGCACCAACTCTCTGACACCTCCTCCTACCACCCCCTTGATTATGACCCCACCCCTGACCACCCAACCATCATCCCTCAGACCATTCATAACCTCATCACCTCAGGTGACCTCCAACCCACAGCCTCCAACCTCGTAGTTCCCCAGCCCCGTACCACCCCTTTCTATCTCCTTCCCAAAATCCACAAGCCTGACTGCCCCAGCTGACCTACTGTCTCTGCCTGCTCCAGCTGACCCACTATCTTTGCCTGCTCCTGCCCCATCTGCAGTTCTTGCTTTCTCTGAGTGACTTATACCTGTGTTTGTGTGCATTTGATAACATATTTAATTATGTTTCCTGGCACTGGTAAACAATAAAATCCCTCTTTGAAGAAAATCTTGTAATTGGCCCCTTAATTTTGAACTAGCAAGTTACGGTCTAATGGAAGTGTTACATAATTGCAAGCTAAAAGAATTAAAACTCTTTGTTCCAACCAAACAAACGAATTAAAAAATGGGAAGCTCCTTATGCTGTCAAAAATATATCTAAATCCCTTGCTCTCATTAGGACAATTCACAAGAATTACATTTATACTACATGAGAGGAAAGTTCCGATTGGTTGGTACGTAGATTCTGATTGGCACAGGTATTGCCATTGAAAATGTAACAGTTGGATGATGACTGGAGTTGTTGATTTTAAAAAAAAATGAACCAGAGAATTGCTTTCACCTTTTTTTTCATTTGATGCAGGTGCAGTGTGTGTACGCTCTTTCTGTTGGCAAAGAACAGGGGCCCTGTATATTAATATGTAGCTTCCAGCAGGCACAAGTACATCACCTTGAGCCCAGCTGACAATTCTAAATTATTTGTCAGCATAATTCTCACACTCAGGATTATTTAGCAAATGTCCAGCTGTGAAATCACATCTGATGTTGGACACTGTTTTGCATTTTGCAAGTATGGGCTAGTTTGGTATGGCTTTGCTTAATGAGAACAGCCAAATGGATATGCCATTTCAATACAATCCTCCACTCTTTGGGACTCAAGTTCAAATGCATTAGTTGCGATTCTGCAATCAGCATCAGTCAGTAACTCTTATCAGTTTGCTCTAATTACACAAACATTCGGTTTCCTTCAGCAGAAACCCGCATCAATTCAGAAGCAGATAACAAAGTAAACCCTCAGCAAATATTTCTTAATATCTGATATAGAATATAAGAAATTAAGAATCTTTATCTTCTGTAAATGCAGCTCCATTATCATGTTTCATTTGTTGGTACAAGCTTGTAATTAAAGATGCAATAAGTACTTCTCAGAATTGTAACCTATGTAAAGGATATTGCAAATTATTGACATTTATAAAGTGCCAGCTACCATTAATGTAATTATTTCACACTGAGTTAGCAATGCATGCATTTCCATTTCTAAAATTTGAAGATTTAAAAATAACTAAAATTGATGAATTCAGTTACATATTGTCACATCATTTATAACCATAATTGCTAAAAGCAGAGGACACATGAAGCAGAGAAATTTTGAAGATAACTCCACAAAAGAAATCATTCCATATAACATCTTAAAATCAATTTTAAAAGACCTATAAAAGTAATATAGTAAGACAGCCAACTGAGTGAAATAATTATTGCTGTTCTCCATAAAATGACCAATTATTGTTAATGTTTATAGAAAAATACATTTTGTATGAAACCAAAATGAAACTGATTTACAGAATAGAATCCCTTTATTCTATTTTGTTTTCAGATTTAAATTAAAAAAAAATCAAAGAATATAGTCAAAATGCACTTGCCTACAAAATATATGTTTCAAAATGAGAATTGCTAAGCTTCTTTTAAATAAATGCTACACTACACCACATTCAATAATTCTGGTATAACAGACATAAAAGCAATAATACCATATGGAACTATAATGACTCAGTGGTAAACTAATCCTCCACCAGTATGTCGATATGCATATTTAAAACAAGATCAATCTGTGTAAGTTGAATAGACAGGAAATCAAGAGAATTTGGTTCAGCTGAGATGTGCATCTTCAACAATAATGACAAGTGAAAACTAAGTGAAGAGGGTGGTCAGCATCTTTCAACTACATCCAATTTCTTTTCTCAGATCCGCTGATAGCCTGCAAATCTTTGACGTCGATAATACAAGTACATGATGATTATTATGATGATCAACACAAAAAGAGACACTCCAAAGCAGATGGGCACAATAATTCTATAATCCAAGAAGCATTCCTCCACTATAAAAAGAAAGGATATGAGTAAGCCTCATTTTTGAATAATTCACATTATTTCATTTACAATCATATATGATAGCTAATGTAATCTGTCACAACAGTACTTGAAAGAATGCCTACAAAATGAAATAAAATTTACTATAGTAAATAATCAAAAAAAAACTTCTGAACTATCAACAGGTCAATTGTCCAATTCATAAAACTTCCTAATGCCATTAAAATCACAGATTTACAGTTTCCACTTAAAAAAGGCTAGTAGTTTGCAGAATATGATCCATAAAAGCACACTTCAAAGTACCATAATCATGCATGATGATGTTAAGACTAATATTTAAAAACATGAATAAGAATTATGAGCATGAATGGGCAATATAGCTCCTGGAGCCTGCTTCACCATTCAATACAATCATGGCTGATCTCATCTTACCCTCAACTCCACTTTCCTACCTGCTCCCCATATCCCTTCAACCTGTCACTAATTAAAAGTTTGCCTATTGCCTCCTTAAAATTACTCAATGTCATGGCATCCACCAAACTCTGGAGTAGTGAATTCCACAGTTTCATGACCCTATTAGAGAAGTAATTTCTCATCTATTTTAAATCTGCTAACCCTGATCCTGAAATTATAATCTCTTGTTCTGCATTGCTTCACAACAGGAAACACCCTCGCTACATCCAAGAAATTGGAGTTGTGTTTATTTAATTCCAATTGGTCAAGTTTTCAAACAATAACTTGAAACCTTTGCTTCTGTTTTACATTCCAGCTTTTGAATTGATCTTACCTATAGCTTGTTAAGGTATTGCGCTCTAGATTCAGTCTTATCCATTTGTAAGATGGATTCTAAGATAATATCTACTTAATTTGGACATACGAAGGGGAAATGTTTATTTTCCAAAAATTTTCTTAACTATTTCAATCACAGATTTTCCTTAATCATCTTGCTCTAGGCAATCAGAACTGGTATTTGAAAAGTGACACCATTATTAGTCACAATAACTCAATGGGAATGATACAGGCTGATACTTTTTAAAAAGGGTCATGTAGTGACCTGAGAGATCACTATGAATCCTGTTAAGTCCATGAAAACATTTTTGTTCATCATGCGTGAAGTAATATAATTGTTTCATTAATGGCCCAATAATCCTGATCAATTCAAGTTGATAAACATATTTTTGCCACACGAAAGTGCTAGGTAATGACCATCTCCAACAAATGAGAATATAGCCCCTCCTTTGAGGTTTAACAGCATTGCCAATCACTGAAACACTTCCATTAACATCTTGGGAGTCACCATTGAGCAGAAACTCAACAGGATAACCAAATAAATTTCACACCTATGACAGCAAATAACTCACTTTCTGACTTCTCAAACTTGTCCACACCCATAAGAAACAAGTCAGGAATGTAATGGAATACTCCCAATTGCCCAGATGAAATTCTACAATATTTAAAAAATTCAACACAAACCAGCCAGCTTGATTGCACACCATTCACCAGCACAAAGGCAGTGTACCATCCACAAGATATATTACAGTAAATTGCCAAACTACAACAGCACTTTCTAATCCTGACTTCTGCCAACTAGAAGGACAAGAGTTCAGTTGGATAGCTCAAATCCACTTGCAAGTTCCCTCAAATACACACATACACACACACACACAGTTCTTTTGCTGATATAGAAATCCTTACCTAACTGCACGGTCAGTGTACATACAACATATGAACTGCAGGAGTTTTATTTTTATTTTTATTTTATTCATATTTATTGAAGTCAAATTCCACCATCTGCTGTGGTGGGATTCAAACTTGGGTCCCCAAAACATTATCTGGGTCTCTGGATTAACAGTCCAGCGATAATACCACTAGGCCATCACATCCCTTCAAGAAGGGAACACCATAATCTTAAAGGCAATTAGGAATGGCCAAGAAAGGTTAGCTTTACCAATGACATTCACCTCCCATGCATGAATAAGAACATTCCACATGGATAGAGAACTTAATTATTTTTAAAATGTTGGTACCATAACAATAAAATGCTCATTATTGTACAACCACAACTGGTTTACTAATACCCTTTAGAGGATATTTGCTTTCCTGCATCATCTTGCTTTTAAATAACTCCAGTCCCACATTATTGTAATAATCTCTGATGAGCCTGAGCAATCATTTTACATTGTGGCTCATTTCAAGCTCAGGGATACTGGAGCTAGGTAATAAATGTTGGCATTGCTAGACATCCAGAGAATGAATGAAAACTGAAGTGACAGCATTGATTTCTCAACTAAATTTGTAGCTAATAACAGGTCAGCAGAAAAATGAATTAAGTTCTTTCATAGCTGCTTATAGCTATGAATGGGATAATCTCAGATGTAGTTTTTTTAAAATTACAGTTATACTGCTTATAATTCATAAAAAGTTGATCATGGAACAAAATGAAGGAAAATCTTAATTGGTAGAATTTATTCCTAGCTCAGTTAAAATTGCACTATATTTTAAACCCTGAACTTTCCTGGCAAAATGGAAAGAAATAAGGAACATGTTAAAGTTTGATCAAGTTAAAGGAATAAACTTTTAGTAGTGACCTAATCCCTAAGAGGATATGTCATGTAATAAAGTGCTGCACAATAAATTTAAAAGTTCTTGAACCTTTTAAGAAAAATATTGCTGTGCCTCAGGGATTTTTTTAAAAATTCACTTGTGGGAAGTGGGGTCACTGGCCAGGCCAGCATTTATTGCCCATCTCCAATTGCACAGAGGGCAGTTAAGTGTCAATAACATTGCCGTGGGCCTGGAGTCACTTGTCGACCACACCAAGTAAGGATGGCAAATCCTTCCCTAAAGGACACTGAACCAGATGGATTTTTCCCCCCCTGACAATTGACAATGGCTTAATGGTCATCATTAGACTACAAATTTGATATATTTAATTGAAGTCAAATCCCACCATCTGCCATAGCAGGATTTAAACCTGGCTCCTCAGAACACTATCAGGGTTTCTGGATTAACAGTCCAGCGATAACATCACCCCCCATCCTATCTTGGATGGGATGATGCCATATAAAAAAAAGCAGGGTGGCCCCAGGTACAAACCCTAATAACGAATGCTAAAACGAATCTACATCCAACTGGGTGAAGAAGAAGAAATGAAATTGCCTAATAGCAGCCTGGACCAAAAACATGTAGCTGCCCCATAATGTACAGAATTGGGTTCAGCTGTGAAACTTGTTTCTGAACCAGAGCATTTTCTCACTTTGGAACTGTTAAATGTACATTTGGAGGAGCTAGGCAGGGCAAGTACTGGCACGGTGTTTTGGTTAACCATCAACTTGCATTTAGTGCCAATTCCATACTGGATAGGAGGGTGAGAAAGTTATGTATATAATGATGCAGGTTTAAACAAAGCTAACATCACTGAACATTTTCCAATTTTGCTCAATAGATACATTGAATACCTTCTCACAATCTCAAACCTAACAAAGTTCCGCATGACCATGTGTAATCTATACTAATTAGCTACATAGCCTCAACAAAAATTCCATGATAATATGGAGTTAAATGCTAGAACATGTGCAGACAATTATTTGTCACATGTAATTTTCAAATTAAAAGTTGAAAAGTCTAATATTTCCACACACCAAGGAACTCTTAAAACCAGAACAGCATTTATCTGACTAACAACAACAACAGCATAACAGTTTTGTTTTCACTCAAAAAGTAAATGGTGTGCTAACAGAACATTTTTAAAACAACATGTGTTTAAATCATTTCATTCACAGCCTTGGTGTTTTGTCTAACCCACAATGTATTGTTTCAGCTCTATATTCCATCCATGAGAAACTATTCAATCCCTTGAAATACTACTGCTGAGCTTCTCATCCACATTTTGTCATCTCCAGACATGACAATTCTAACATTAGTTAGTTTGGTCAGTCTCTAATCTTATACCCTCCAACTTGAACGTATTTAAAATATCACTGGTCACAATGTAGGCTTGACAATATGAGTGTCCAATAATACAACAAATCCCTCCAGGTTTTTGTTTCCACCCCTTTCTAACTTCCAACTCATTCTTTTAAAAAAGGAAACGCCACAAGTCTTACATATTCCCTTCCTTCATATTATTGGGACGGCTGAAATCATTTGCCAAAGTTACATATTGCTTCCTAAATTTTGCTTTTTGCCCACAGTTTGAAAAATCTACTGCTCTGAAGCCTACAGCTATGTGTCCAAACATGTCTCTCTGGCTCAGAGAGATGCTGTTGTGAAGGACTTTGGAATATTCACATTTGTTTTGGGTATTAAAGTTTGGAAACTGAATTTTTTACAATTAAATTTGCTGGAGAAACTCTGCTGGTACAGCAGTGTCCGTGTGGGGAGAGAAGAGTCAACACTTTGGGTCCAGTGACTTCAGCTTCTTTTTCCTCTTGCACTTCCTCTCTCCATATGTAGAGATGTGCCGAGTTTCTCTAGCAATTTTTGTTTTTGATTTCAGCATCTACAGATCTTTGTTTTATTAAAATAGAAAAAGCATTTGTTTCCTAGTCCAGTCCCTAAACAGCTGCATTCCCCATGCAGATGGCCTAATGGCCCTCTGCTCCTTCCTGTCCTGCAGGCCCGACCAGTCCCCCTCCACTGACACCCTCATCCACATAGCCAAACTCGTCCTCACCCTCAACAACTTCTCTTTCAATTCCTCCCCCTTCCCACAGACAAAGGGGGTGGCAATGGGTACCCGCATGGGCCCAAGCTATGCCTGCCTCTTTGTAGGTTACGTGGAACAATCCCTCTTCCATACCCACACTGGCCCTAAACCCCACCTCTTCCTCCGTTACAATCGATGACTGTATCGGCACTGCCTCGTGCTCCCACAAGGAGCTCGACCAGTTCATCCACTTCACCAACACCTTCCACCCCAACCTTAAGTTCACCTGGACCATCTCGAATACCTCTCTCTCCTTCCTGGACCTCTGTCTCCATCTCTGGCAACCACCTAGGAACCAAT